AAATAATAATAATGTAACAAAGAAAAAACTGTTTTCTAAAGATTTTCTAGTGTATAGAGTACCATTTATGTAATCACTTTGCCCATCAGAAAGATTGTGTATTGTATTTAAAGTCGTTTTTCTCACCGTTTAATTTTTTATAATAGTGGTACCATATATATTCAAGTTCTTTTATTGGTTTGATGAATGAATGATAATTTTAATATGTTTACAGGAGTTAAACGCCTGTAACAGAAACACACGAAACAATAGTAAAAGCATAATTTTATTTTGTGCGAGAATAATCAGAGCAAAACTTTGCATGCAAGATCATAAGGTTTTTGCCTGCTTGCATAAGATATTCATACTTGTTCTATGTTATTATTGAAAAATTAAATTTTTTTTCCTTTTTTAGTGCCAAAAAAATCATGACCCACTTACATATTTGAACAAAAGAAAAACTAGGCAAAAATAACGATACTCTATCTAATCTTTAATTATATATTATATTCCATAATAACTTTTAATGTCAGCGCGAGCAAGTAGTAGCACACGCATGAGCTAACACCAAGATCAAGGCCAACAGAAAAGTGGGACATCGTACGGTGTTTTCCTTAATACTACTATAACACGATACCTATTGATCAAAAAGAAATGACATGAGCCACGACCAGGGAACGAAAAAAAAATCCAGGACATCACAGTATATATCTGGAGATCGTTAAGCTTAAATAGAAATATGTAGATAAGTGTAAGGCAAATTCTAATATACGTAGCATATGACACACTTAATAATTTATCTTAAATAATTTGATTAATTAATCTAAAGCTTTGTTGTGAGTAAAAGCATAAGAAAACTACAACAGATCAGAACACTGATGATAAAAGTCTAATTTATGAGTAACTTTTTTGACTACGCTTTTGATTGTTCATTTTCAACTTTAATAGTTTTGTTTCATTACAATTACGCAATCAAAGTATATAGTAAAAATATGCCTTGCAAGATCATAAAGCTTTATGTGTTAAAAGCAAAAAACAATTGTTTCAAAATGTTTAAGGTTTGAATTTGTCAATTAGATGATTCATAACAATCATGAATATTTTGCGAATAAAACTCTAATGGCATTATATCTTACCATATTACTACTTTATCTTAAAATAAATATGAATAAAACAACACCTGGTAAACAGAACAAGACTTTTCTTACCATGAGCACAAAGTGCAAACTGCTGTTTTGCACCTTCATGTCACACTTTGCGCCATTGTAATTACTTTAGACCCACGCCCACGGGTAGAAAAGTTTTTTGGGCCCTCCGGGCACTAAGTGATTTACTAGGCACACAGTGTGCTCTCAGGCGGAACATTGCACCTTGCGCTCTCGGTAAGAAGAACAATATACGTGATATGGGCACACACATAAAACAACTGCAACCTTCGGGCGCTTATGTTTGTACTTTGTGCCCTAGTGACGTATATCCTGTTTCGTATTACAGTTGAATAAGGGTGGTTTATTATTATTTGATATATCATTAATAACGTATGGATATAAAAAAAAATACAAAATCTTGACTCATTATTTTATAAGTTTAAATATTTTTTTAATTAACAAAAATTATTATTTGATGCCTTTAACTACATAGAGTACAGATTTCGTGTTAAGGAGAGGTTGAACTAGCTGACGAATTGTAGTTGGACAGTGCATGTTTATATTATATGTATGGATCGTTTGCTAGTGTATCTATGAAAATTCTTGCACTAAATAATTTCCATCTACAAGTATCAGAGTCATTTATGATACTAAAGATAAATAATTTTTTATAAATTTTAAATTATGAGCTTACCATTAATGATGGCATCGATAGCAATATGTCTTATAATAATTTCATGAGCCTCATTCCATTTTTCTGCAGCAATATAATACCAAGCAGCTTCTTCATACCTAAAAAAAATACAAAAAAAAACACAAGTACAATAAATAGCTTTCGAATTCATTTAAACTTTTTTTTCAGCTGTGAACAATGAAAAAAAAACATTAGATCATTGTTTGAAAATACAAATATGTATGAAGATGTATTATTATGACATTTTAAATGTATAAAATAAGAGACGAAAAAATTGAAATGTTTTTTATCTATTTACAAAGAATGCTATTTCAGATGTATGTATTTCAAAAGTTATAAAAGTATAATTTAATTGACACAATAAATAAGACAACTATAACAAAAAACGTAATGCAAAAACACTTACAGTGACAGCCCGCAAAAGCACTGCTAGATGGCAAAGTCTTAAATACAAATTTAAATAACCTCGCAAGCCCGAGCCACTATATAGGTTCGAGCCACTATGAGTACACACATTTTAGTGTAACTTGTAACGACTGAGAGGTATGTAACGTATTTAATTTCTTAAGTTTATTAACAAAATTTTGTACTGTTACCATCCAGGGTATTATTTGATTGATTATTAATTATTAGAATCATTATTTTTCTTTAAATTCAATCGTTTTACATAAATTTGATTTTCAAACGTCACGCGCAGCTCCGATTTCAAACTTTGCGTTTGATAGTACCTCTAGGTGGAAACTACTAGTATTTATAAATGAGGGGATAAAGCATTACGTAAAATAACGATAAAAAATACGAGCGATTAAAAAAAAGATCCAGAAATTTTTTATGAAATATTAGAGTATATTCGCTATGTGCACAATTTTAAAGCAGCGCCATCCTAGGGAAAAACGAAAACTATTGGTCTGGCACAGCAGAAGGCAATATTCGCGATATGTGCTTGATACCTATAGGAACACAGCACCTCGATAGATACACGAAAGGTTCTGTGTTTATTATTTCACGAATTAATACAATGTCTCAAGTGGTACAATCCTATGTGAATTACTAAAGACAAAATTTGTACTACAAGCACTATAAGCGCTTGAGTATTACTTCAACACAAGTCCGTGTACTGTGTAATACGATATATGTTTTATTAGTTTGCAGTGTAGTCAACACAGGCCTCCTCTGACCAATCAGAGAGCTCCGTTGGCCCTATACCGGCGTGTTCACACAGTTTGTACACACGTTCATACGATACGCTTGGAGGATCAGGCCCCAGCTAAAAACTCTAAGAAATACACAGTATCCAATGTATTTCACTGCGTTTTTTAATGAACATGCCTGAGTAAAATATGTACACACTACTCATAATTTTATTAAAAATTTAACCTTTAGAATGGTTGTCGATGTATAAACACATAACTTTCTGATGATAGTAATGCTTAGCAGTCTGCTAGCAGAAGACAAACTTATCGTTTAGTTTCACATATTAGCACAGGTATTGCTGCGATCGCTTTTTCAGTTTGTGCACGTAGCGAATAGATGGCCGCTATTTAAGCCACAGAAAGCAGCATGACGATTGCAGGAGCTTTCTCAGTAAGGACGTAGTTATTTAGTATTTAATTCACCAGTACATATTGAAAATGAACGAAAAATGGTTTTTCAAGAAAATTATATGTTTGAAGCTATAGAAAACTTTGAAACATTATAAACGGCTTGGTTTAAACTGAATAAAAAAGATGGTTTCGCAAAAAAATTAGATACGTAAAAATTCCAGAATATTACTGTTTTAATTCTACGGTAAACACTTGGGTTAGAAGAGTAAGAGTGGACGTAGAAGAGTAGAACGTTAGAAGAGTAGACGTAATTTAACAATAGGGCGACTAAATATAGTGTCACCTAAGGACTCGAGTGTTTTTTTTTAATTCATGTGAAATCGGGCTAGTAGAGCTGAATCTTTTGAAAGTTTGAAAACAGTTGATACCATAAATGACAGTACGATTAGAGATACTGTTATTGCTTCAAGTTAAGTTGAACACGATTCTCGAATAAATAAGATATTTAAAGAAGCTTGTAACGTTATGCTGCCATATTAACTTAGAAAATTGTTCGCATGGTTTTTAATATCCAAAGACGTTTGTGGTAAGTAAATTTTAAAATTATTCCAAAAATTTTTATTTAAGATCTAAAAGATGATAAGCAAAACAATATTTTATTACATTTGAATAAAATCTTCAAATTTAAAATATCATCATATAAAGATTATGGATTACCATAACGAAATGAAACAGTAAAATCTCAAAATATTAATTTAGTAACAAATTGTAAGTATTTACTTGTTAACCTCAATAGTCATCAGAAAATAATTTTCAATGGAATTATCAACAGTGATACAAAACTATATTTTATCAATAGTCCAGGAGGTTCTGTAAAAACATTTTTATACAAAACATTCATTTTT